TGTCGCATACACACCGCGTGACTTCTTCACACACTGTGTTCCTCAGACCTCGTGCCTAGGGTCTACTTAGTGGCTCTCTGTGTGTCACTCTTGCCTTCTGTCATGATTCGCTCACTGATACACTCCACTGCATGCTGTTAACTACATCCACCCGACCGTGTCTCAGCCTTGGAAATACATGCCGTATCCTTGTTTTAGACCCATAAATAATAGTCCTCACGTCAGGGGTATTCACAGCCTAAGGAGCAGGAGCAATATGATGTCATAGTTAAGGACACACTCCCCAGCTTCTGTCATCATGTGACCTTGCCAAAGCAGACGTGTCCTGTCAGTGCCTTGCCTTCTTCAGCTCCGGGACGTTAGGACAGTAACATTTATCCAACAGGGCTGTGTACACTGAAGTAGACAACACACTGGTGTGTGCGTCCCAGCATTTGACATACTAGGTAAGTGCTTTGGAATGAGTCTGTGTGCTGTGCACCAGGGCCCACTCGCCCCTTGTCCACTGTGCACAAGAAACCGCATGCCGGGGAAATCCTAACAGACTGCAAGAGGGTGCAGAGATCCCTTCTCATAGAAGGAACCCTACGCTCAGAGCATGATGACAATTTGCACAGGACCAGAAAGGGGAAGAGGGATTGACACAGATGCTCAAAGGGGGAGGCTAGACACAGACGCTGATTAGCTGTGGGCAATGCAAGGGATCTTTCTGGAGTAATGAAAATGTTCTTGCCAGGTGTGGTGGCGCATGCCGTTAACCCCGACACTCGGGAAACAGAGGCAGGTGGAGCTCCATGAGTTCAAGGCCAGCCTGGTCTACAGAGCAAGTTTTTGGGAATCCAGGGCTACACAGTGATACTGTCTTAAAAAACAAAAGGAGGGAGGGAGAGAGGGAGGGAGGGAGGGAGGGAGGGAGGGAGGGAGGGAAAAAGTCTCTTAAACATGATTGTGGAGATGGTTGCAAAACCCCAAATTCAATAAGAATCAGAGTTCATGAAAATGTGGGGTTTATATATATATATATATATATATATATATATATATGTATGTATGTATATATACATATATATATATAGAAACTCTGTGTAAATTTAACCAGTTATATGAATTATACTCCAGGAATGTTGTTGTGGACACAAAAGTCCTTGTGTTTAGCTGGGGACCAGGAGCTTTCCATTGTCGACTACCTGAAGCCCAGCCGCGAGTGGGTTGGAGCCGCTGGAGCAGAGGGTGGCTGTGGAACATCTCCATACAGGGAGGAAGGCAAGCATAACATTGGGAGGGCCTGGAAAAAGTACAAACTCCCACGCCCAGCCCCAGCCGTGGAATGTGCAGAATTGGGTGGGGTCCAGAAACTCGATTCTAAGAGTCAGCTACCAACGGGAGCCGCTCGGCAAGACCACAGTTGGGGAAACTGAGGCTAAGCAGGCAAGGGGGCCTGTTGGTCTGGTTGATCAAACACCAAGACAGTTGGGACTCTCTGGTCCCCCTTCCTTCCTGTTTTTGTTTTCTTCTTTCCTTCCCCTGTGCCGCCCTCCCAGGGCGGGGCACGCCCCCCCACCTTCAGCTGTGACTCAGAGCACTGAGTCATGCTGTGACAGCACAGAAGGAACTTCTTAAGAAAAACAATCCCTAGCACAGAGCTCCCTGCATCTTGGGAACAGGATAGCCCCAGTGGGCTGGGAGAAGGAGGGAGAGAGGTCAGGGCAGCGTGGGAGGCCAGGGCTCCCCAAACCTGACTGTTCTCAGCCACTGACATGTCCAGTGCACTGCATAAGGAGCCTCACCTGCAAATAAAACCTCCATGTGCAGCAGGCATCACGAGAAGTGTGTGTGTGTGTGTGTAGATGTGTGTGCAGATCTGTGTGTGTGCAGATATGTGTACACAGATGTGTGTGTCTATGTGCAGATGTGTGCAGACGTGTGTGTGCAGATGTATACTGCAGACGTGTATGCAGGTGTGTGTGTAGAAGTATGTATATGCAGATGTGTCTATGTGCAGATGTGTCAGATATATGTGTGTGTGCACATACGTACGCAGGTGTGTGTGTGTAGATGTATGTATATGCGATGTGTGTGCCTGTTACTATCTCCCTACATGGGCTGAGGAGACAGGGCAGTGGTCAAGAGCACTGGCTGCTCTTGCAGAGGACCTGGGTTCAGCTCCCAGCTCGAGATGTCGGCTCACAAACACCCATAACTCCAGTTGCAGGGAATCCAGAGCCCCCTCTGGTCTCTTTAGCACCAGGCCCGCATATAGTGCTGAAGAGATGTAGGCAAAGCATAAATAAAAATAAATATATTTTTCTTTTATTTTCTAAGATTTATTTACTTTTATGCTTACTGGTGTTCTGCCTGCATATGTCTCTGCACCAAGTACATGTAGTGCCCTTGGAGGCCAGAAGAGGGCATCAGAACAGGCAGAGCCTAGCTGGTAGCTAAATTGTGGCCTTGCCTGAACAGGCTTCAGAGAGCCCCTCAGTTCCCTGCTACTCATCATTCCCCCTAGGGCTTCTTCCTCAGCCATGGCTGGGCAGGGAAGAAGGGATAAGGCTTCTTGACACAGGCCAGGCTAATCACAAGGGCCTATAAATCGGACCTTGTGGCTTGGCCTGAAGTAGCTGTGCCAGGAACAGCTTCACAGGCATCAAAGCACAAACAGCTCTTCTCCCCCACAGTTAGCCAAAACTTCTTCAGGAAGCCAGGTTCACGGTCCTTGGAGACAGAGGATTTGAGCAAAGAGCCCCACCCGCCTTGTGGGCATCTAAACCTGGGCCTAAGCTCCTTTACCTGCTTCTCACCTCCATTGCTTCTGCCTGGGACTCAGTTTCCCAAAATGTGTGCCTTTGGGCCCTTCAGCCGGGGTGTTCTTGGTCTGTCTGTGACGCCCCCGCCTCTCAAATGCCTATTTCATTCTGTCCTGCTCCAATTGACTTGGAAATTGTATTTTATCACTGTTTTTATCATTAGTTCAGTGCTGGGAACCAATCCCAGGCAGGCACCCCATTGTCTGACCTACATCCATTGCCCCTGTGGCACATTTCAAATTAAACATTGTTGTGGTTGTTATTATTGTTGTCTGGGATTTTTGATGATCTAGCCACCCTGAGTGCTAATTGCAAAGGATGAACAAGTCCTAACCAATCCCATGCCGGGCCTAGGGCCAGATACCAGTGCAAAAGGCATTCCCAGCCCCACCCCCAAAATCCTCCCAGTGGCCTCTGTGAGCGTTGCCGGGCACATCATGTTTCTGGTTCAGACTGCAGACTTACAGACACAGAGGATTCCCCACCTGGCAGCTTGTGACCTGGGCAGGGCCTTCACCTCACAGGAGAGGCTCCCAGCCATGCCGTGTACAAACATGCTGCAGGCCTTCCTTCCCAGTTCACTCTCCATCGCCATCCAAGCCCTACTTCATGGATGCGGAAAGCAAAGCCGGGAGGGACCGGGCGCATTCTGGTCTGAGGGACACTAACTCAGACTCTCTTACTCCTGGAGTCCAGGGCTGCAGAGGTCTGACTCAAGGCAGCCTAGCTGGAGAGTGGGAACAGAACCAGACAAGAGCAAGAACAGAGAGACAGGTAGGGCATTCCTGGGTGTGTGTGTGTGTGTGTGTGTGTGTGTGTGTGTGTGTGTATGTGTGTCTGTGTGTCTGTGTATGTCTGTCTGTGTGTGTGTGTATGTTTGTGTGTCTGTGTCTATGTGTCTGTCTGTGTGTCTGTGTGTTTGTCTGTCAGTGTGTCTATGTGTATGTGTGTGTGTCCGTGTGTCTGTGTTTGTGTGTGTGTCCGTGTGTGTGTGTCTGTGTGTGTGTCCATGTGTGTGTGTCTGTGTGTGTCCGTGTGACTGTGTATGTCTGTATGTCTGCGTGTGTCTGTTTGTGTGTATGTTTGTGCATCCGTGTTTGTGTGTATGTCTGTGTGTATGTGTGTATGTGTGTGTCTGTCTGTGTGTGTGTGTCTCTGTGTGTGTGTGTGTGCGCGCGTGCGCGCGCGCGCGCGCGCGAGCGTGTTTCATGAAGGGAAGTGACAGGGCTTCACTGGTAACACACATTCTCTCCTACGAGATCCCACATTGCCCTCCCTGACCCACCCTCCTCTTTGCCTGTCACTGACTGCTCTGAAACACCACCACTGAAGTCACTCCTCTCCTCAACAGCCATCTATGGCTCCCAGTGACTAGAAAACTGAAGGTCTCTGCAGACACCGCCTCTCACCTCCTGCCACTCTGACCTCAGTCTCCAGAGATGACTCACTAGTCCTCAGGCACATAGGGCTCCTCCAGGTGACTGGCTCTTCACATAATCCTTTTGCCTAGGGCACCCAACTCCCCATTGTACCCCAGTGCTCATCCCATGGCAGGAAAAGCTGACTGGCCCCGTGGGCATCTCCGGAAACACCTGGGTATCAGCCACCTTTATCTCCCTCGGGATTACAGTGACTCTCCTCTTGCAGTTTACCACCAGCTCCAGAAGCCAGCAAGGACTGACTGGGAAAGGGTGGGGCCTGGGGACAAAAAGCCAAGAGGATCCTGGGAAAGTGCACAGCTCCTAGGACTTCTCAGCACCAGGTCTCACATAAAGCATCGGGACACTTACAGTGAGGAAAACACTAAAACAACACCATGCAGGGTCATAGGCACGTGTGCATGTGTGTGTGTGTGTGTGCTTGAATGTATGTGTGGGCGCGTGCACCTGTGTGTGCATGCGTGTGTGTGTGTGTGTGTGTGTGTGTGTGTGTGTGTGTGTGTGTGTGTGTGTGTGTGATGGTTCCACTAATGAAGTTCTCCAAGTCTCCCACTGGAACGCTCCTAACAGCCTCCAGTAGCCTGGAGTAAAATCCAGTCAAGGGCAGCATGGCCTGGAAGCTTCTGGCCCCTTCCCTGGCCACTCCCCATTCCCTCTGAGGGATGCTCGCCCTTCCCAGCTCACCCTGCCATCCTGCTCTGAGGCTTCTCTGCCCTGTCCAGAGAAGTGCCTCCCTCCCAGCTGTTCCCAGAAACCACCCGATCCTCCTCAGGCGAAGAAAAAAAACGAAGCCATGGCAGGCATAACCATCTAACAAGACCCAGGAGGTACAGAAAGGTTTCACTCTTTGCTCCTTCCCCAACCCCCAGCTCAGAGCCTAGATATCTGTCACGTGATTCCGTGAATGAATGGATTCTAGAGTCCGCTAAAAAAATAAAGCCCCGTGGGAAGTCAGAACAGGTGCAGTGAGACGGGAAACAGACAGCACAGCCTTCCAGCAGCAAGGGAGAGAGTTCTAGATGGAGAGGAATCAATGTGCCAGAGATTTGGGACAAGGACATGTGAGGCTCTGATGGGAGGACACCAGTGTGCCTTACTTACACCCACGTTCCTGGAGGTGAGCTCGGGCAGCCGCAATGTGGGGGATACAGGAGCCTCCTGAGACATTCAGCTAGGCCCGAGCAGGCCTGGCTGTGGCCCTGTGGTGTTTTCAGAAGTTGGGCAGGCAGCCAGAATGCAAGGGCCTTGTGACACAGCTAGCAAAAGCACCCCAGCTTATGGACTGCCAGAAGCAGGCACCCCAGAAGTCAGGTGTGATCCAGGCAAGGCCAGGCCTCTGGGCCTAGAGAACCTTCTAGAAACCCCTGGCTCCTTGATGACCATCAATGACCCTCTTATCTAGAGCTGAAGAGGGACAGAGCCGTGGTCAGCTCCTGTCACTGCCCGGAAGCTGGGTGCAGTGGAAGATTACGAAATGCAGGTAAGTGACAGTGACATCGTGGGTTGTCCATTGATGTCATAGGCTGGAGGGCACTTTCCTTACTCCTCGCACAATTAGCAGCTCTCTTTTGTTGGCTGAAATGCTCTCACAGTGGCTCTCCTGGCTTTCCAACTCACACAGGCATCTACAGGCCTGCCAGATCCCCGCCACCGCCTCGTTAGACCAGGAGGGGACCGAAAGCACCTGCCTTACAGGAGGAAAAGCCCAGGACCCGTTTGTGAGTGAATCTGGGCCTCCTGGCTTGTAGCCCAGCACTCCGTACTCTACCCAGCTCCCAGAGCACTGCTCCTCAGGCTCGCCCTGGAATCTGATAGGTGGGCCCACCCACCTAGCCAGCCAGCCAGGTGGGGATGAGTCATTCACCCTCCCGGACTCACAGTCCTCAGGTGCCTCCTAAGGTCAACAAGCAGGGGACTTGGTGGCCACAACCCAACTTCTTCCAGCTCTCCACAGCCTGCAGGGAGAGCTCCTATCTCTCCTCCTCGAGGGAACCTACCCCACCACAGGGCTCCCAGAAGGCTTGAAAACACAGCAAGCAAGAAGCGCAGCCTGGGTGGGAGCCGGCACGGGGCTGCCTTGCCCTGCCTGCCTTCAGGGCTGCTCTCGCTGGCCTTCTGCTTGGTGAGGAGCAGATGAGGTGGTGAAAACAGTATGGCCACCAGGGAAAACCTCTCAATCCACAAAGGCCGTTCAGACCTCCACTCAGCAATCGTCCAGATTCCCCGGGACACTAGGTGGCCTGTGGCTCTGTGTTCTACCTACCTTACAGGGTTTTGCAAGGAGAGGAGAGCCACTCGGTGAGGAGATGCTGTAACAGCCGCTGAGGCACTGGAAAACGAGAGCTGGTGGTACCTGGAAAGGGGCCCAGAAATCTCAGGGTCAGTGTCTGGGGTCGCATGGGTAAATCCCACCTACCCCGCATATCTCTAGCGACGAGACACTCACTTCCTGGCGGTGCTGCCCACACCTGCTGCTGGGGGGGTTGACCAGCCACTATGGGGGGACGGTTGACCAGCCACTAGTGGACCTCAGGACGCCAGGCTATGGACTCCTTGGAGTAGGAACTGCTTCCCTCTGAGGCTGTGGCCCAGTATGACCTGGCAAACGCCTCCTCCAAAGTGTGTTAGAGGAGGGGCTGAACCACCATCCTATCCTGATCCCAGACCAATGGTGGGCTGTACAGCTGAGCCTTCTGGGCCCCTGCCTTGTGGGGACAACCTAGAACTTCAATCCTACATATCAACCAGTCAGCTCCTGCCCACTCGAGCGAGATCTCGCTACCCAAACCAGCTTCTTCCGGCCAAGGAAGAGAGCCAGGGTCCCAAAACAAAGGGGCCTCACAGGCTCCTGAGATGACGATGAGGATACAACAAGCCCCTTCTTAACCATAGTAAATGGCCCAGACATTGCTGATGGTTTGGGTCAGTAGGTGACACAGTAGTAGACCTGGAGCCGTGGGCAGAGAGGTCAGAGGTCACGTGTGTATCTAGGTCTGGGGAATTTGAGTTAAACGGCACCTCTGAGGGCCTTCCTAGAGGCAGCAAAGCACATCGGGGGTTTGTTTTTAAAAATGACAGACAACTGTGCATTCTATGAACTCCAAGCCAGTCTCAGCTGTTGCCTTGGGGGTGGGGGCTGCATGTGTTCCCAAGTGTACCTCCTTTGTCACACTTCCCATTCAGCAAAGGGTACCCCTGGCCACCCTCTCCCAGCCACACAAGGGTCCAGGCATCACCCCCCACAAGTTCCAGTTCGCGCTGACTCCCAACACTGCAGTTCAGCCTTTGACTACACCAGAGCACGCCTCCGCTCTCCGTCCCCACTGTCACCTCTCTGTTGACATCTCAGCCCGCCTCTGACTCGCTCACAGCGCAAACTTCCTCAGAGCAGGCCCAGACCACATCGCTGGGTTGCTCAGACGCTGCTGTGGCTCCACACAGCCCCCCGACAAAGCCCAGGACCCATTATCTACTCTCCAATGTCTGCTCTCTGTGGTCTGTCATGGCCAAGCGCTTGAACCACAGTTCTCATCCAGTGCCATCCTCCATCTGTGCCTGCCCGACTCCAGCCAGACACGGTGCGCTCCGTCCCTTGTGCCCTCTGTATAAGTTTTGTATACACTGTTTTCTTGAATGCCCTCAGCCACTAGGTTCTCCGCCACACTAAACTGAAGCAGTCTCTTTCTGTATTGGTCTCTCCCAGGAAGCTAAGATCTGTGTATGCTACCCCAGATCCTGGACCCCAGCAGCTCTAAATGCTCCTGGGAGAAGTCAGGGAACAATATGCTTGCACACATGCCTGACACGCGTGCTCACAGGCACATTCCCACAGAGCTTGCTCACAGTACAGATGCTGCCATCTATGGGCAAGAAAAGTACTACAGGCTCCCTGAGATGGACACCAGCTTTCATGCGTTTACGACCACCCCAGCTAAGTCTAAGTTTGTGGGTTCCCCTTTGGGGAAGGCTGTAGCAACTCAATACAAGGTCTGCTAGCGGCTGGCACTGCTAGCTGGGTCTCCACCCACGCACTCCCAATGGAACAAGAAAGGGGGGGTTTCTGTTGCAGCCCCACAAGGCCAGCTGCAGGCCGCTGGTTCTGAGTTGGCCTGCACATCTGCTTGCACATCTGCCTGCACAACCTCAGAGCTCAGGGAGGAGGCAGCTACCGAGAGTCAAGTTGTCTACCAAGAAAGGGCTAGCCTCTGGGCAGGGTGCTCACTGACAGTGTGCAAGCCACCAGGGGACCTCCGTCTAGGCTACCAGGAGGGAGTATTCTGCCTCGTGGGTGGTGGAGGTTGCAGCTGCGGCTAGTCTCATCCCCTGCCAAGTCACCAGGAGGACTTTTGGGCTTGATGTCCAGCCACACCAAAGATTCAAATGGCCACCTCCAGTGACAAGTTGTCATTTTCTGTACACCTACAGGCTATCAGACTCTACAGGCAACATAGGAAGCCTGATAGGCAGTTAGCATGACTCTCATCTTTTCAAGCCAGACTCCAGGCTCAGAGAGGTGAAGGAAGATGCCATAGGTCCGGTCACACAGCTAGGCAGCTCCCACCAAGTCATACTGCTGCTCTTGGGTCTAGCTTTACTCAGCATCAACCTGTAAATAAGGCTATGCCTCCTGCTCACTTGGAGAAAGACCCAAAGCTTTGGTTGCTCAGTTTACAGAGGGCTTCTGCAGAGGGCTACCGGGAACCTGATCTGAGCCACAGCAGGACACTGCTGTCTCTTGTCTTTTATTGTTGTTTTCCCTTACTTTCTTCTTTATGTTTTTATTTTGTTTATTGGTTTAAAAATTCTTAGCTCAGGGCCATGCAAAAGTAGATTGAGCGCTCCCAGCAACAGTGGCCATTCACATATTTACCGAGAGCAGTATTTATCATCTTAAATGTAAAACCTTCTGGTGGAGATGTTTATCAAGGCCAGCTGCTCTCTCCCTTCAGAGCTTCCCAGTGAGTCAGTCTCTCCTCTTGAAGGGCCTTACCTCTCCACCTCTCCATGACTTTGCAGGAAACTATTTCGACAACTGCTCACACTCTCGGAACAGTGGAATAAAGTGTGACCAGGGTTGGAAGAGAAGAGGGGGCAGTAGGATGTGTAGACAGACTCTCCGGGGTGAAACACTGGAAGACCTGGGTTGGGACCGTTTATGGGTGGGATGCTTGCCCAGCAAGCACAAGGCTCTGGGTCCTATGCCCAGCTCTGAAGAAAACAAAAGTCCCTGAATCTAGACTGGCTGCTCATGCCTTATCCATAGACTTAACTTCTAGATATTCATTCTAAATTGACTATAGTTGATTGCCCACCCCCCTTTTTTCCTGAGGGCCTCATTTACCTCAGACTGGCCTTGAATTCAAGACACAGACAAAGATGATTTTGAACTTTTGATCTTTCTGCCCACTTTACACAGGAGAGCACCACCACACCCACTGTGTACAGGAGAACACCACCACACCCACTGTGTACAGGTGAGAACCACCACACCCACTGTGTGCAGAAGAGCACCACCACACCCACTGTGTACAGGAGAGCACCACCACACCCACTGTGTGCAGGAGAGCGCCACCACACCCACTGTGTACAGGAGAGCACCACCACACCCACTGTGTGCAGGAGAGCACCACCACACCCACTGTGTGCAGGAGAGCGCCACCACACCCATTGTGTGCAGGAGAACACCACCACACCCACTGTGTGCAGGAGAGCACCACCACACCCACTGTGTGCAGGAGAGCACCACCACACCCACTGTGTGCAGGAGAGCACCACCACACCCACCTTAGAACATGCTGGGGATCTCACTCAGGGCTACAAGCATGTTAGATAACCTAGATAAGCTTTCATTGTTGGGTTAGAATCTTCCAGTTCAGTGTGACCCCTGGACTGACAGCATCAGCAGGAGCTCATTAGAATGCAGATTCCAGGTACCAACCCAGTCCTAAGGAATCATTACCTACATTTTCACGGAATTTGTGGGTGGTTATGGACATGATAAGTCTGGGAGTTCTTCAGAATATCGTTTCTGTCTAACTTCAAATCATTAGACATCTAAGGTGTCATAGTGTCTCCTCCCTGATCTCAGGTCTGCAGCAAACTCCAGGACGCAGGTCCAAGAGAAGGACCAGGCCTTCTCTTGATCTTGAGATCTGATCCTAGCCAGGCAGGGAGGCTGACTTGGGAGGAGAGGAGAAGGCAGCATTCCCATTTCACAGAGGAGTGGGAGCCAGTTAGAGAGCCAGGCCAGACAGGTGTGCAAATGACTCACCCAAACTCAGCAGCCAAGATGAGCTAAGGGCACGTCCATGGCCAAGTCCCCCAATCTCCCCAGGCCTTGGGTTGAACACTAGCTGAAATGCTTTTGATTTAGATGTGTACTTTTGAAATACCACAAGTGACGGCACTCAGGGAGCTAGGTGGGTGTTTGTGGAAACATGTTCACTCTCTCAGGGCATGGGAACCCTGGCCTGAAGAGGTGAGGTGGACTAGACAGTTCCTAAGACCCTGCGCCTGCAGAGTGAGGAGGAGGCCCAGACAGTTCCTGCGCCTGCAGAGTGAGGAGGAGGCCCAGACAGTTCCTGCGCCTGCAGAGTGAGGAGGAGGCCCAGACAGCTCCTGTCCCCCCCCAGAGTGAGGAGGAGGCCCAGACAGCTCCTGTCCCCCCCAGAGTGAGGAGGAGGCCCAGACAGCTCCTGGGACCCATCTCTCCAGGTCAGATGGGGAAACCTGTCGGCTGAGAAGGCAGTCAAGAGTGGCACCTGCAGTCGCCACAGACACAGTCTCAGGGTTGGGAACACGAAGGCTGATGCTACCGTCCCAAGTGTGGAGGCAGACAGCAGCTTGGCATGGGCACTTAGAGAGTGGTGAGGAAACGGAGGCTTGCCAGGGCTTCTCCTAAAGCCAAGAATCTGTCCCTTCAGCTGCTAACAATGCGGTGTAACAGGGGCGTAGGAACCCTTCCAGGAAAATTCCATGTGGACGGTGGAGACAGGCCACCTACAGAAACCCCGATGCCAAGAGAAACTCTGCTAGCATGCATATTTCCTAACTGTACTTCTCCTCTGCATTTTGTCACTCTGCTGGGAACCAGGTGGAGATGGACTAATGACCCACCTCAGTTTTGGACATAACCACAAATAAAGTAACTTTCCATCCCTCTATAGATTGTTATTTTCCTCATAATGTGGGGGACTTTGGGGACCCGTGTGTGGGCCTAATGGCAATATATTAAATTCTACAGTTCTCTGTAGCGTGAAAACACAATATAGGAACATTCGGATGCACACCGATGAGTGATGTGGGAATTATCAGTCCCCCAACAAATACTCAGTTTTACACAGGCAGTCATTACAAAAAGGATTCGGCTTGGGCGTTGATGGGAAGGCCTCCAGCGCATCATGTTTCCCATAGCTGAGTCCCATGAGCCTCCTGTAGGAGTGCAGAGAAGCCAGGAGAGGTCTGGTTGCCGGTAAAACTCTGCGTGTCCATTTAAATTTGAACTGCAGATATGCATTGATTTTTCTTTATAAGAATGCCCTAGATATTGCAGGAAAGATAGTAATACTAAATAATTACTCATTCTTTATCTGAAATTCTAATTTAACTAGCATCCTGTTTTCTTAGTTGCTAAAGATGGCCACCCTAAGGGCAGAGTCTGAGATTTCACATTTCTAAAAAGCTCCCAAATGCAGCCCTGCTGCGTCTAAAATATCACTTTCCACTCTCAAAATGGAATTTTATGCAACCACGAATTCTACAAGTTTTTTAAAAGGCCATTTAAAGAGTCAGGTAGGTAGTCCCCAGCTTCTAAAGGAGTGTTCTAGAATGAAGTATTCTCATGGTCTTGTAGAGAAATAGTCTGGGGAAGTGCAAAGGGGACAGAGCCGAGGCTAACCCATGAAAATCCCACTGTGAAGGACACATCCCAACTGGCTCCCTCTCCCTGACCTGAAGCTCAAGAAGCCAACAACGTGTGACCATACAAAGACAACACCCTCACCCTTCTGCTCCAGATCCAGGGTGCTTTGAATTGATGAGAAAGCATCAATTCTGAGAGCCTGAATGACCTACAAGGGGGAAGCGGCATGTTGGCACGTCTCAGACCCCTAAGAAGGGGCTGGGGCTGGGGCGCAGTGGGCAGAGTGCTTGTCCGGCACCAACAGCTGGGCACTGTGGTGTACAACTGCAGTCCTAGCATTTGTGATGGAGGTAGGCATTCAGGGTCATCCTCAGCTACATAGTGATTTCAGGGCCAGCCTGGGCTAGAGGAAACCCCATCCTAACAACAAACTAACAGAAATGTACCGAGCTAGTGTTGAAATCTGAACTTTACCCTTGAGGAAACCAAAGCACAGAGGTGGTCTGTTCGAGGTCTGAACTGCAAGTGCAAAGAGAACCAAGTTCCCTCTGCAGAGAGGTGATCCACTCCGGGTCCAAACCGCAGGTGAAAAGCAGACACGGGAAAGAGAGCCACGTTCCCTCTGCTCACTGGCCGAGAGCCCCTACTCCACCCTTTTCTGATACTGGACTAAGCAAAAGGATTTACTGAGAGAATGAGCTAAGTCTGAGGTTTCAGGAAAATGGTCTCTAGACCTTCTGCACTGATAGCCAGCTACAGTGCTCCTTCAAAACTGTGGTTTCCCCACCAATGGTGGTAGGGACACAGGACCACTCATGAACAGCACCCACATCAGGCAGCCCCACGTCTGTCACTCCAACTCCAGATCAGACGCCTCTGCAAGCATGTACACTAACAACCTGCATGCGCCACACACAGAAACACTTGCATACACACAAAACAATAAAATAAACATTTTTAAAAAGAAAATGCCAGCCAAGCATCGGTGCTCACACCTTTAATCCCAGCACTCGGGAAGCAGAGGCAGGCAGATCTCTGTGAGTTCCAGGCCAGCCTAGTCTACAGAGTGAGTTCCAGGACAGCCTCCAAAACGATACAGAGAAACCCTGTCTCGAAAAACCAAAACAAACAAACAAACAAAAAAGAAAGACAATGCCAGCTAGGCAATAGTGGCCCATGCCTTTAATCCCAGCACTCAGGAGGCAGAGGCAGGCGGATCTCTGTGAGTTCAAGGTCTACATAGGGAGTTCCAGGACAGCCAGGGCTACACAGAGAAATCCTGTTTCAAAAAACAAACAGAGAAAAATGCCCAGAAGAAAACATACCCAAAAGTTAGTAGTGATCACTTGGGTGCCAGTCATGGATAGATTTTGTTGTTTTTAATTCTTTAAATATTTTTATTTTCTATCACAAGCTCCTGTTACCATGAGGAAGGAAGGTCCACTGAAGAGGCGAAGCATAAATGCCATCAAGCCACTCCCCAAGTTTAACCAGTATTTACTTAGTATTCACAAGAATCCAGCCCAACCACAGCAGGCAAAGCAAGGGCCCCACCCTGGAGGCGGACATACATGGAACATGTATCCTTTGCTAGATAAGTACTTGACCCAAATGATAGCTCTGCTGAGGTCGGAAAGCAACAAGACACAGTTTGCTTAACCAATTTAGCAAAATGAAAGAATTCACACACACACACACACACACACACACACACACACACACACACACACACACACACACCACTTGCCTGACCCCTCATCAGAGTTCCCTACCAGGCTCCATGGCTCAAACCCTTTCTGGATTCCTCTTGGGAAAGCCAGTTTCAAGGACACTTTTATAACCAGGAAAAAAAAGTAACAAAACAAAACAGAAAATGGACCAGACTTAGTGGCCCATGTCTTTAATCCCAGGACTTGGGAAGCAGAAGCAGATGGATCTCTGTGAGTTTGTGGCCAGCCTAGTCTACAGAGTGAGTTCCAGACCAGCCAGGGCTGTATCGTGAGACCCAGTTCCCATTTCTTAAATCAAACATTGAATGAAGGAGGTGCCAAGGCACTGTGCAGAGGTAACAATGGGTGGCACTAATTACAGAGTACAAGACATGGGAAGGGACCTCCGGGCAAGGAGACTCAGTGTTCCAGGCCTCAGTTTCTTCATCTGCAAAGTGGGTTACATAAGGAAAACATCAGGGTTACTGTAAGGAAAAAGTTAAGCCACTTCACTCTTCTTGGGAAGGTCTCAGTTTGCTCATCTGCAAAATAGAGTCAATATTTCTTCCTCCCTAAGACTATTTAAACAATAAACAAAACAGTAAAAGCTGAAGGTGAACTGGAGACCAAGAAATAGTGTCTGGGAGTGAAACCCCACTCTCAACTTCCTGTCTGCAAAATGGGGCAATGGTTTCTGCTCAAATTCTTGTAGACTCTGTCCAAATTCAAGTAGGGTCACAGAGCTTCTGCATCTGGCTCTACCGCCACTTCTAGGCAAGGAGGTACCATGTTGGTATGTCAAGCGCAAAGCCCTCCAACTCAGAAGCCGTGCAGGCTGGGCAAACCTAACAGTATGCTGCCTACTTAAGTGTCCAATGGACACTGGAGCCCATTAAAAAAAGCATGCAGGAGCCAAATCCTACCCTCCATTTTGTCAGTGGCACAGACAGGACCCCAACTCCAGCCTTTAGCTGCCTCACCCACCACGCCCACTGCTTTCCTTTCCCCTACCCTGCAATTGCCCATGTGGTCCCAGGCAGGGCAGGAGCTGGTAGACACATCTCAAGAGGAGGGGGGAGGGGAAGCCGGCGGCAGCAGCAGGAACTAAGCCTGCCTGTGGTCTCCAACTTCACAAACCACACCAGGCTGCAATATGACACACGCTATTTCGGGTGAAAGGGAGGAGATATTTTTACTTAACATCCCTCAGCTGCCTAAGCACCGCTCTCCCCTCCCCGCCACCACCGCCACACGTAACTCCTGGGATCTACTTTTCTTTGCTTCAGCTCACATTTTCTTAGACGGTACTCTTCCCAGACTTTTGGGGTATCTAAGAGTAGAAAGGAAGGGCCAGTCCTGGCCAGGTGCCCAGCTAACAAAAGACCTTGCCTACTTCCAGGAGCCTCAATTTCCTAAAATAGATGGGAAACTGAGCCACACTCTAGAAACCTGTTGATGGTAAAAAGAACATATGTGCTTATAAAAAACTGTGAGGCCCCTCCAGCCTTCCCTGAGCTGTGCAGATCAGGTCCCAGCACCCATGTAAAAGCCAGTGGACAGATGCATATCCATATCTCCGGGTGCACAGGCACACATCTGTACCTCTGGGTGCACAGGCGTACATCTGTCCCTCCCGGTACACAGGCGTACATCTGTACCTCCAGGTGCACAGGAGCATATCTGTCCCTCCGAGTGCAAGGCGCACATCTGTACCTCCAGGTGCACAGGTGCACATCTGTACCTCCGGGTGCACAGGCGTACATCTGTCACTCCAGTGCTGAGTGTGGAAAGAACAGAGACAGATGAGTCCCTGAGGCTCATTGGCCAGTCAGCCTAGCTGAACTGTTGAGCTCCAAGTTCACTGAGAGACTCTCAAAAAATAGTGGAGGGTCTGGTGAGATGGCTGGGCAGAGTGAGTACCGTCCTAGAGATGCCTGATGGCCTGAGTTTGGCCCCCAGACCCAGGTAAAGGTAGAAAGGAAAACTGACTCTGCAAAGTTTTTCTCAGACCGCCACATGTGCACCCCAGCGTGCTTACCCACACAGACACATCACACATACATGCAGCAATAATAAATTAATAGTAAATAAAAGCTTTCATAAAAAATAAAGTGAAACTGACCTTTGGCCTTTACACATGCATGCGCATGCGCGCGCGCACACACACACACACACACACACACACACCACAGACATATAAAAAGAACTAAGAATGCAGGCCCACGCCTAAGCTAGCACTTGTAATTTCTCTTACATTCTCTCTCTCTAGCCTATCATTTCTGGTCAGCAAATACTCAACAGCTGTGGGCCCAGGTCAGAAGCGTTTCCTTGAAGAAAACCAAAGATCAGTGTTTCATCAAAGCGCTACAGGACAGAATGATAACATCTCTGTGGCCAGACACATGTCATCTAAGAGCCAAACTGCCCACACAGAGTCAGGAGGAGCCCGCAGGCTCCAGAGGACCAGAAAGCAGGGAGTGCTCCCTCCCAGGTACAGTGCTCACTGTGACAGTCCACCCCGAAGAAAGGAGGGGGACAATCAAGACAAACGAGCCTGCCCCTCATTTTGAACCTACAGCAATAGTCTTTTT